AGGGTTTAGGTTTAGGGTTTAGGGTTTAGGGTTTAGGGTTTAGGGTTTAGGGTTTAGGGTTTAGGGTTTAGGGTTTAGGGTTTAGGGTTTAGGGTTTAGGGTTTATACCCCCCGCGGGGCTCTTGGCACAATCTTGAAAGTATTAAAAAACCCCCACAACTGGCACGAAAGTAGTGGATTCGGGGCCGCTACTGGGCCGCCCCCCTAGTTGTGCCAGTTGTACCCCCTCCCGCAAGGAAAAACACAACCCGACTCAGTCGAGCTCGACGGTTTTGTTGTAACACCCCTCACAACTGGCACAACCCACGGCTGGGCCAGGTGTGGACCAGGATTTAGGCTTTAGGTTCAACATAGGGCTTAGGGTTTAGGATTTAGGGTTTAGGGTTTAGGGTTTAGGGTTTTGGGTTTAGGTTTTGGAAGGTTCAGGGTTTAGGTTTTGTAGGGTTGAGGGTTTAGGATTTAATGTGTAAGATCTAGGGTTTAGGGTTTATGGGAATTTATAGGGTTAAGTTTAGTGTTGAGGGCTTATGGTTTTGGGTTTGGGGTTGGTTATATATATAGGATGTGTAGGGTTGAGACCCTCTTCGGCTGCAAGAGCTTGCAGCAAGCATTTCGCTCTTCTTTTTGCGCGCCCACATATGCAGATTGTCTCGGGTTGTGCCAGGAGAGGCCACACCTGGGCAGTTTCGCACATGCTACACCCTATAGAGTCAAGGCCACATGTGTGGTTGGGCGGGATCCCTGAGACCACAAAAGCCCCTGAGAGAGGAGGAGAAAAAAAAAATTGACAACGAACGTTGGGGGCCTTTGCCGTCATGGGACTCGATGGACCGGAAGGAGCACGAAGTATCCCGCGACCTCGGGGGAATTGCGCCAGAAGTGCCGGGAAAGCTCGAGACGCAAGCCTTTCGCACAGGCTACACCCTAAAGTCAAGGCCACATGTATGGTTGGGCGGGATCCCTGAGACCCCTAAAGCCTCCGAGAGAGAAGAAAACATGAAACATTGACAACGAACGTTGGGGGCCTTTGCCCGCATGGGACTCGATGGACCGGAAAGGAGCACGAAGTATCCCGCGACCTCGGGGGAATTGTGTCAGAAGTGCCGGGAAAGCTCGAGACGCACACCTTTCGCACATGCTACACCCTAAAGTCAAGGCCACATGTGTGGTTGGGCGGGATCCCTGACCCCAAAAGCCCCTGAGAGTGAAGAAAAACAAAAAAAAACATTGACAACAAACGTTGGGGGGGGGGGCCTTTGCCCGCATGGGACTCGATGGACCGGAAGGAGCACGAAGTATCCCACGACCTCGGGGGAATTGCGCCACAAGTGGCCGGCCAAAGCCACGGTAGACCGAAACACATTGCACCAAGAGTGACCCAGTTCAAAGGAGCATGCATACATATATATGTATATAAAGCAAAGCGCAGATGGAACCCCGCACTCACTTGCAGCAGCATGCATTTTCCCAGGCGTCTGCACGCGGTGCATCGTTTGGCTCTGTGATGACATCCATGCTCATTATCCTCGTCCGAACTTCCACTTATGTGACTGTATATCTATGTCCGGATAGATAGACATTGTATGTGTATGTATTTATGCCCATATGTACACTGTCCATCCATGAATTGTACATACGGAAACACCCGGATGCCAGAATGAGCTCTTGCATTGCTGCGTTTGCAGCCCTTTGTTGAATTCAAGCCATGTTCTTCTCCGCGTGTTTCCACTATACATACCCGCAGGCCGGAAAAAACAATTACTGTAGATGTGCATATATATATACACATAGGCTTAGCAAAACACAAGATGTCCTGGCAGATACAACTGGCGCAATCTTACATACTCGGCCTGTCAGTGCGAGCGGATCAGCACAGGCGCGCGTCAGCGGAGGAACAGGTCGTCGATGCCGAGTTCCTCGACTTTGCGTTGGTGCACTTGGAAGGCACGCTCCGCCTCAGCCTCCCCCACCAGCCCTTCATAGAGCTCCCAGGCCCATGTTGAAGCCTGGCGCAACGCCGCAGTCACGAGCCTGCGTGGCACGGTGGCATTCGTAAATTCATCTTTCAAGGCAAAGCGAAAGGTGCGGCTGGCATGGCCTGGGAACCACACCTGCACGACCCCATCGGGAGTCCGCCTTTGCAGGCGGCAGCCCGCAACAGGGGGACACAGGAGCTTCATGTATGCAGGAGTTCCGAATTGGCCAGCGCGCGTTACACGGAGCTGGTCTGCAGAGCCAGCGTCGGCAATCAAATCCGCTGACTCGATGCGTATGTCGCAGTCTCCATCCAGCATCCTTGGGTTTTCACACTCGTCGTCCGTGACATGGATATTGACAGGGGACTCTTCCTCTTCTTCTCCAGCATGGGGTTCAGGGGGGATCGCGGCATCGCCCAAGCGTGCCACCAGCATGTTCTGGAATTCGTCTATTTCCTCTGGCTCCTCAATTTCCTGTGGCTCGTCCTGATCGTCTGCACCCTCATCATGGTCTCTGCCTGGGTTTTCGGCATTGTCTGCTTCCTGCCAAGATGTCTTTTTGCAAGTGTATACATATATATATATATATATATAACAAAAACAAAAAAGGGAATGGTCTTACAATTGCGTCTCTATATATATCTGTATTTAATTTGCGCCAGTTGTCAGGCATACAAGAAAAAAACACAAGACACATCGTGAGCTCCTGCCCCGCTTGTTGGTCTCCACCCGGATGCCCCTTGCTGAACATGTCGTGAACCTCCTGGAGGGTCAGTGGCACGAGATCGACGTCACCCAAGGTCATCAGCGCATACTTGAGCTGCCGCGGGGGACCATCGTTGATGGCCAGTGTGAGGTTTTCACGATGAAATCGGAGCATGGTGAAGTTCTTGCTCCCACGCACGTTGTCCTTGATCATCAAGACACCATCCACTAAACATGTGTTCTTCACCAGCCACTGTGGTGAGGCTGCCTTGCCTGTGGCGCGGTTCCAGACGATGGTGCACAGGGGCACAACGGTCCGCAGGTCCTTCACTGTCTCCTTCTGGTAAAGAAACAATGCAAGCTGCTTCTCGATCGTCAGAACGAGGACCTCACAAACACGCGAGAGGGAGAGAGAGTGGGAGAGAGAGAGAGAGAGAGAGAGAGAGAGAGAGAGAGAGAGAGAGAGAGAGAGAGAGAGAGAGAGAGAGAGAGAGAGAGAGAGAAGAGAGAGAAGAGAGAGAGAGATAGAAGAGGAGGAGAGAGAAGAGAGAAGAGAGAGGAGAGAAATAAGAGAGAAGAAGAGAGAGAGAGAGAGAGAGAGAGAGGGAGAGAGGGAGAGAGAGAGAGAGAGAGAGAGAGCTGTCAAGGTACCTGCGGCAGCATGGACCAGTCACCCGCCGGGTCTTGCAACTGCCAGACCACCAGCTTCTCGTGGAGCCGCCTAAGCTCCTCCTCGCAGGGTGGGGCCGCAGCGTCGTCTCCTCCCAGCAGATCGCGGAAGCCATGAGGATCCACTGCCCTCATGGCCTCATCCGCCTCAGCTCTGCTGCCAGCCGATATGCCTTCGAGCTCCTCCCATGTGGCATAGCCGCACCGCACCCAGGCTTGTTGGAGAAGCGGCTTTGGCATCAGCATCCAGTTGCGGATACAGTAGCGGATGCACTGCGCCACGCGTGCTTCTTTCCGCACCTGGCCCGACGAAGCAATCTCCAGCCTGACAAGGGACCACACATGGCGCAACCACTGGGTGAAGCCCGCAACATACAGCATGCAGATACGCTCAAACCCAAAAAAAAAAAGACATGCAGGCTCGAAACTTGTAGTATGGCACGCGAGCCAAGACGTTTCTGCTGAAGGAAAGCTCGGCTCGGACAGAGTTGTCGTTTGCATCCTTGTAGTAGCCGTGCACCTGGTCCTGTTTCAGACGGCAGAGACAGCACAGAAGTGCCTATGAAATGAGCTGACTGAGCTGACCCAGAGTAGCACGGAAAGCAAAAAAAAAAATGAGCAAACAGAGTCTGTGGGAGCACAACTGGCGCAATCGGTCCTGGGGTTGGCCATGAGCGGACCAACCTCCAGGCTGTTTCGATGGAAGCAGTACATTGGCAGTCGTGGACCACTTCTCGCGCAAAAGCATGTACGCGGACCCATGATTTCCAGAGAAAGCGTCTGCCAGTATCATCCCCTTTCGGGAGTGAAGAGAATACTTCTCCCTTTGTTTTCTGAACGCGTCCGTCAGGAGAGTCTCCATCATTATCCAAGTGCTCTCGCTGTTCATGAAATGACTGCCCGTAGCAGACTCGCACAGGACTGCCAAGCCTTCGAACTCGAGGCTTAGGGCCTGGAACTCCTTCTGGGAAAGACAGCCTGGGGCTACACTTACGAACATGGGCCCAACATCACCGCTTGCAAAACTCGAGGTTACCACCGTGATCCCGACCCTTGCACCGACGATGCAGGCCAGTCTGGTGACTGTGTTCTTGGGCCTTTTGCTCTTCTTGGTCATCAGCACCTTCTTAGGGGATCTGAAAGGTTGTGCCCACGTCTGGTCATAGTTAAGAATCAGCTCCAGTGGAACATTGTACTCTTGCCGAATGCGGCTATACTCGGCTCGACTCCTGAGATGTCCACAGGTGCCGGTTGTTTGGGAATATATACGAGGTGCTGATTGTTGGACATCTATATAAACCTATATATATATATACATATATGAACCCGAAACCACGCCCAGCTTATATACATATATATATATATATATAGCTGAGGCACGCCAACATCCTTGGGTCGTCATCCTCCAAATACTGCCCCGCAGTATTGACGGCCTGTTTTGTCAAATGGTTGGACTTTGCCAGTCTCTGGACCATGCCCCTCGCAGACTTGTAGGTGACCTTCCGTATCTTTCCCTTCAATCCCTCCGAGAGCTGCTGTTCATCGATCTCGCCGGCATTGAACTTCATCAACAGGGCTGCATTTGCTGTCTCCACAGGGACTGTCTGCTCCTCCGCCGCTGAGTTTATAACGGCCACAATTGCCGTCACGCTGTTCGTGAGGTCCGACTTTGACACAGGCTCTGCTCGGGGGAAGAGTCTGTCGCCTTGTGTCAAGTCTTGTACCTTGCTGGCCAGAAGGTCTTCTACGGCCTGTGGAAGTCCTGTGGCCTCGATGCACTTGCCCCTCAAGTGGCTCACAGAATTCGAAAAGCCTCTTTTCCAGCTATTGGGTACTTGTTTCCATTTGGTGGCGTGTTTGGTGGGTATGGCGTGCCATGCCCATTTCACGTAAAGCCGGCGCCAGTGCACGTAGCGTCTGGATGTGTAGTTCTTGAACTTCGACTGCAAGAACCGATCTACCGACCCCTTTGCGCCAGATCTTTCAAACGCCATCCCTGCCTCAACCTTGCAGGGGGGGGGGGGTTGCGCCAGGAGTGCTGTTGCAGGAGTGTGTGTGCATATGCATATATATATATAAATAGATAGCGGGAAAGAAACACATGGAACAATGCCCCACCGAATTCTCTCACACCCCGCAGCTCCCAGCCAAACTGCAGGCCAAGACACTATCTCCCTCTTTTGCAGCAGGCTGAGCTCATCTCCAACTTTCCTGCTATACCGCTCCTTATGTCGCCTTGCAAAGCCTTTAAGGACTCTTGTCGGCCTCTTCTTTTTGCGCTTTGTCTTGTCCTGCTCCTCTTCACCAGGTTCCAGGCGACGCTTGCCAGGCCGCAGTTTTTCTATCGCTGCTCTTATCAGACCATCAGAAACACCTGTATTTTCCTGGATCCTTCGGGCCAACGCCTTTCGCTTTACATCATCGGCAGTGTCAAAGGGCCGGCCACGTTTACTACTCGCGCTGGCCTCTGCCAGGCTTTTCTGGTGTTCTGCCCCCTTCAACGCAGCTCCGAAGGCAATAGCAAGATCCATGGGGGAGTCCAGGGCAGTACAATCATTCTTGCGCTCTACAAGCTGCAAAAGGTCTGGCACGCCTGACTCAACACAGGATTTCTGAACTGCAGCCTTCCAATCGTTACCACCTGTCATGGCCACGGCGCAAGCTTGACGGTACTTCTTGACCTCTGAGTCACACAGCAAAGCAAGGTCCTCCAATGCAGCGGCATGGTCAAACTCGACCGGTAGATGATTTGTAGCTGAACAGTAATGCTGTCGGAGAAGCTTAGTGATTGCTTTGGACGGCGCTGCGATTTGAAACAATGCCCCAGTGCACACCTGCCTTTTCTCGTTGACGGCCGTTACAATCATGGTGTACAGGCGGTTTGCAAAGTGCCCAGTGTCTGCAGGGAGTGGATCCTCCTTGGTCTCTGCGATTTCCTGCACTATCGCGTGCACGTCCCGCTCCCATTCCAAACCTTTGAACTGTCCAGAATGCCCAATCTGAGTCCTGTCATGAGTCCCAGAAGTCGCCACAAAGACCGGCGTGGAGTGGAAGCTACCCTCCCCGTCCTCTGTCTTGAGGACATGCAGCGTGACAGTTTGCGCGTTCTCCGGATGCAGCTCGAGGACGACGAACTCTTGCTCCACTAGTTCCCGGACAGCTTGGACCTCTGCTTGCATGGTGGACTGGAAATCCTGTCCACAGAAGCAGACAAGGCCAGTAAGGACATGGCCGCACTCATCCCGGACCCTCTGCACGATTTGCGCCAGTTGTGCCGGGTCATCAGCTTCCGCTCTTTCGATCCAGAAGACCATCAACAACTTCCGTCTTTCACGCTTTCGGATGGTGACGGCAGTGTAGAACAGCAAAGCAACATGCCCGGGGCTCTGCAGCCGGTCCTGCTGCCGCGCCTGTTGGAATTTGAAGATGAGTTGTCGGGGCACGATATAGGCCTCGTCCTTCAGTGTGGCCCTGAATGCATCCTCCTTGGCCACCTGCACCAGGCCCTGCATACGCTCTCGGCTGAAGAGTGGCGGGCTCGCTAGAGACGAGGAGGCGGCTGCACTGGCGCTGGTCTTGCCCGTGTTGGTCTCAGTGGAGGAGGCGGCTGCACTGGCACTGGTCTTGCTCGTGTTGGTCTCAGTGGAGGCGGTTGCACTGGCACTGCTCTTGCTCGTGTTGGTCTCAGTGGAGGCGGGTGCACTGGCACTGGTCTTGCCCGTGTTGGTTTCAGCGAGCACTGCACGAACCCATCTGCTGCGGAGTAGGGTGACGTTGCCTGTGGAAGGAAGACCTGCCAATCAACTGTTATATATAGACATATACATATATATATATGTATGCACACATGCCTATGTATATAGCGGGTGGGTGGGTGGGTGGGTGGGGGTGATGGCGGGTGGGGGGTGTGGTGGGTGGGGGGTGGGTGGGTGGGCGGGGCAACATGACTCCATTTTATATACATTTATTTTATGTATTTGTTTTTATATATGTGTGTCTGTGTGTGTGCGTGTGCTTTTACAAAGGTCTGTGCACGTGTGTATCCGACGTATATCCGCCGCGGCGTCAGTGAAATCGCGAAGGGTCTCCTCCCCTTCCGCCCGTTCTGCGGCTCCTTCCCTGTTTTGCCTGATTGCCCCAGCGCCCCCCCCCCCCCCCCCCCCCCTACAGATTACTGGGTGGGTAACTGCCCCGACCCCATGTCGGTCCATTGCGCCAGTAGTGGGTGGGCATTTCGTGAAGGCCCCCCCCCCCCTTCTGCAGCATCTCCTACCGTGATTGCCCCACCGCCCCCACCAGTTAAATACAACTTGTTCAACTTGCAGCTGTTTTGGTTTCAAAGCCACCAAACTAAACTCCCACATGCCCTCGTCCCAGATGTATGTGTCCCAGATGCCCTTACACTCGCTCCCCACTCCCCCCATCCCCCGCCCCCAAGCCCTGTTCTGGCCCAAGTCCAGGTTTCCAATATATAAAGCACAACCGCCACTCACCCCCCACCCCCACCCCACTCCTCTCCTCTCCTCCCCCCACTCCCCACTCCCCACAATTCTTCCAGCTTTTCCTACCTTTTGCCCCACCCTTGCGGCTGTTTTGGTTTCGAACTCCCAGATGCCCTCGTCCCAGATGCTTCTGTCCCGATGCCCTTCTGCCAGAACCTTTCCCCCCCTCCCCCAACCACCACTCCCCCCCCCCCCCCCTGCAACCAACTTTCGAGCTCCCAGATGCCCTCGTCCCAGATGCCTCTGTCCCGAATGCCCTTGTGGCAGAACCTGCCTTCCCCACTCCCCCACCAGCACTCCCCACTGCCCCACTCCCCCGTCTCACACGGCTCTCTTCCCCAACCCCCCCCCCCCCCCCCCCCCCCCGCCACCGCCCCCATTATCCCTCCCAGCCCGTTGCGCCAGCAGTGGGTGGGCACAGCACACCCATGATATATATATATATATATATATATATATATATTGTGTGTGTGCGAAAGAGACACAAACCAGTGTTTCACGCACCCCAGGCCTCTGTCTTTGAGGTCTGCGACAATGATCGCCCTTTTCAGCGAGGTTGCTTGGACACACAAGCTGCTTAGTTGGCGTTTGACCTTCAATGCGCTCCTCAATGCTTCTTTCCTGGTAGACAAGGTCGGCCCAAAACGGAAGTTTTCAACAATTTCGAACTCGCTGCACAGCACTTTGTACGACTTGTGGCCATCATGCTTCTTGATGCCTTGAGCTTCTGCCCACTCGTTCAGAGAGCCCACATCGTCCAGATCATCCAACGTGTCCTCGACTCTGTCTTGACAGGGAGGGTCAGTGCGTGGGGCTGCTTCGCCCTCATCATCAGCAGATGCAGCAGGCAACCTTGCGGATGGATCCTTAATCGACAGTGTAATCCAAATTCGGCCTTTTGCTTCGTAGCGAATGGGCGTGGCAAATGCTCGAGGATTCTCCAGGTGCCAAGCGAAGCGCGTCTTGTATCTGTTCCAAAGATCTTGATCCTCGACCTGGTGTTGGTCAAAATTCTCTTCGCGGGATCCTTTTATTTCTTGACAATCTGTCAGGTTCACCACACCATAGCACTGTCCCTTCTTGCAGAGTCCTTGGGTGCACAAGCAGCGAAAGTGAGGGACAAACGAGAAAAGGCAGGAACCGGAACCTAGAGAAACGTTCACACGTTCTATGTTATATACAAGTCTCCGATGGGACCTCTCTTGCTTGTTTGAGCGCCGCGCACCTCCCATCGCTTCTGCCCGGAAAGTATGAGATCGATGTACTTCTTATCCAGAATCAGCCCTGCAGTGACCTCGGCCAGAGAAACAAAAAAAACTACAAAACGAATCTCTTCACGCTGTGTCATCTCCTGACAGACTCATGCCGGGGGGCTATTGTGCCAGGAGTATCACCACTCTGCATAGTTGCTGATTCTGCCCCATCCACGGTGGCCTGGGCCTCACGAGCAACGATGGCGTTACAGTGGCTACAAGGGATGACGCAAAGTATAGAACCGGGCGAGACCAAGCGGAGGACCAGGAGAGACATCTTGGAAAAGGAGCAAGAGAAGCCCAGCTATGCCTCAGTAGGTGCCTCAGCGGGCGGCGGCAAAGGTGGCGCGGCCTCAGCGCACGCCTCTGCAGGCGGCCACGCAGGCGAGCAGGCGGAAATGGATTCCTGCCCCTCCTGTCATCGGCACAGGCAAGAGCAGTGATGGCAAGACAAAGGACCCGCTACATAGGCATGTGTACATACATATATTCGCCTCGGCTTCCTGCCGAGAAGCGTCTGGAACAAGCAGACCCGGATCGGGCCCTTCCACCCAATCGAGCAGGGCAACCCCCCCCCCCCCCCCCCCCCCCCCTCCTCCCCTCCCCCCACACCGGTGTCCTCAGTCTCCTCGTAGGGACCAAAGAGCTCCTGAACATTCTCTCTGTTTCTTTCTCTCTCTCTCTCTCTCTCTCTCTCTCTCTCTCTCTCTCCCTCTTTCTCGCTCTCTTTACTTGCGCCTCCATGGTGGGGAAGTCTGCCACTGCCTCCTGAGCGTTCTCACCGTTTCTCTCTCTCTCTCTCTCTCTCTCTCTCTCTCTCTCTCTCTCTCTCTCTCTCTCTCTCTCTCTCTCTCTCTCTCTCTCTCTCTCTCTCTCTCTCTCTCTCTCTCTCTCTCTCTCCCTCTCTCTCTCTCTACATATACAAAAATAAATAAAGCGATGGCATGACAAATGACAGAACCTGTGACTGTTGCGCCAGGAGTGGTTGCTCTGTGGCCATGGTACAGCTGCTACACCCCCCGCGGCACCCCTCAAGTTGGCTTCCTACAGCCCTAAGTCCAGGAAACAACTTATATAATACATATATGAAGCCCCCCGCTGCAGCACTGCAACAATGGCAAGCACTGCGCCCACAGACTCTCCTCAGCAGCTCCCTCCAGAAGCGGCGGCATGCGTGCGGCATTGGTTGACCGTATTTCCTGTCTTGCGACGGCGTTACAGTGGCTACAAGGGATGACACAAAGTATAGAACCGGGCGAGACCAAGCGAAGGACCGGAAGAGACATCTTGGAGAGGAGCAAAAGAAGTCCAGCTGTGCCTCAGTAGGTGCCTCTGCGGGCGGCGGCAAAGGTGGCGCGGCCTCAGCGCACGCCTCTGCAGGCGGCAACGCAGGCGAGCAAGCGGAAGTGGATGCCCGCCCCTCCTGTCGTCGGCACAAGCGAAAGCAGTGATGGCAGGACAAAGGACCCGCTACATAGGCATGTGTACATACATATATTCGCCTCGACTTCCTGCCGAGAAGCGTCTGGAACAAGCAGCCCCGCCGAATCGACCAGGGCCCCCCCCCCCCCCCCCCCCCCCCCCCCCCCCCCCACCCCCCCTCCAGCCCCCACCCCCCCCCCCCCCCCCCCCTCCCCCCGCTGCTCCTTTTTTTTTTGTAGGGTTTCCTCCTTTCCTGTGCTGGGGGCCCGGCTGCTGAGGCTCTCTCTCTGTTTTTCTCTCTGTCTTTTTGTAGAAATAAATAAAGCGATGGCATGACAAATGACCGAACCTGTGACTGGTTGCGCCAGGAGTAGTTGGTACTACATCTGCTACACCCCCCGCGGCACCCCTCAAGTTGGCTTCCTACAGCCCTAAGTCCAGGAAACAACCTAATACATAAAGGAAGCCCCCCGCTGCAGCACCCAGAGACTCTCCTCAGCAGTTCCCTCCAGAAGCGGCGGCAAGCGTGCGGCATTGGTTGACCGCGTCTCCTGGCTTGTGATGGCGTTACAGTGGCTACAAGGCATGATAGCGGAGGACTGGGAGAGAGACCCTGTAGGAATGGTTGCTCTGTGGCCATGGTACAGCTGCTACAGCCCCGCGGCACCCCTCTCCGACAGCCCTAAGTCCAGGAAACAAGCACCCCGTAAGTCAGCTTCTTAGTACATATATGAAGCCCCCCCCCCCCCCCCGCCAAGTCCTGAAACAAGCTGCAGCACTGCAACAATGGCAAACACTGCGCCCAGAGACTCTCCTCAGCAGCTCCCTCCAGAAGCGGCGGCATGCATGCGGCAGTGGTTGTCCGCGTCTCCTGTCTTGCGATGGCGTTACAGTGGCTACAAGGGATGACACAAAGTATAGAATAGAACCGGGCGAGACCAAGCGGAGGACCGGGAGAGACATCTTGGAAGAGGAGCAAGAGAAACCCAGCTGTGGCCTGAGTAGGTACCTCTGCGCGCGGCGGCAAAGCTGGCGCGGCCTCAGCGCGCGCCTCTGCAGGCGGCAACGCCGGCGAGCAGGCGGAAGTGGCCTCCTGTCGTCGGCACAGGCAAGAGCAGTGATAGCAGGACAAAGGACAGAATTTGTGCACATGACTGTTGCGCCAGGAGTTGTTGCTCTGAGGCCACGCTACAACTGCTACAGTGCCAAGCGATGCGCACCTGATTCAGCCTTTTCTTTTGTTTGCATCCACTGCTCCGGAAGCTTCAAAAAATGAATGGCCTTACAGCCTGCCAGTGATCTATATACGCCTCATCATGGGCCTCGGTCCATGTC